GTTACGACCTTTGTACTCGGTTGCTAAGCCTTTAAAAAATTTAGACCTTGTTTGCTACAATGTTTGGTAGTTTTCATTCCATGGGTATTCTTTCAGTGTGTGATCATAGGGATATAGTTCACACAAATTTTAGATAAATGCTAATGAGACTTTATGGCCTTCATGAAAGTTTATAAGGTAATATATAACAAATGTTTAGGAAAATCTGAATTCAAATTATGTTTTCATATTGAATATTAAAGTTTTATAACTAAATCGTTAGTCTAGGTTTTTTCTACTTCATCGACAAAGATAAACTAAAATACATTTAGAAACCTAATTTTCTGTTTTCAACTAACATTTAATGTCATTGTTTAGTAACCTCTATCAGTATTTATTTTTTTATGTATGTGTGTGTGTGTATACATGTATATATAATGATTATTATGCATAATATAATTATATCATAATTATAATGGTTATGCACCAGATAATCATTACAGGAATGTTTTTTTTTCTCTCAAGACATTATCAAAAAATAAACTGTTAGACAGTATCGCTTCTTATTGATCTAAATGTATAATAATGAATGCATACAAAATGAAATGAAAATATAAACTAATAAGTTGATTATCCCTATAACAATACTAGGTAGAAGTGCACATCTTTGTAAGTGAAAACATTCAGACACTATTATTGTTATTAACCATAAATTTTGAGCTGGCTGCCATTTATGATATTTTACGTGAACTAAGCCATTTTCTATGGGCATTTTTGAACTTCTCTTACAAAAAATTTTATTATTTAAAGTGATTTATCATTTTATGAGTAAATCACAAATGTAATTGAAGTGAATAATTTTGTAGATTTGAGTCTACTTATGACTGGTTATATATTTTTTGTCTTAAAGTTATGAAAAACTTGCATGTTTACATTAAAAAAAAATATATTTTGTTGTGAAACCAAAATCAAGAAAGATTAACCATTCAGATATGATGGAGAGTAACTAATTTACCAGAGATTGAACTCTCTAAACACGTTTTTATGTAGTAGTTGTATTTCATGTTCAGGATGTAATTTTATAAAATTCATTTAATAAAAAACTGTTAACATAAGTCTCCTAATTTCAACCTACAACTAAATCTTTAGTGTGCTGATCTTTCCAAAAAGTTGTTATTTTTAGAACATTTACCAATCTCAAAAAACACATGGAACATTCTTTCAATGCCTGTGTGAAGGTGAAGGAAAAACCTTAATAATCACTGTTTTCTTTGATTTAGATTGAAGGTGTGTGGGGTCCATTCTTAATAATTGCCCCAGCTTCAACCCTCCATAACTGGCAGCAAGAGTTCACCAAATTCATTCCAAAGTTCAAGGTCAGTTCAGTTTAAGTAACAACTGTGGGAGTCTGAATATTATGCTATGCACATTTATATTGTAATACAAGCACTAAGGTTTCAGCAATAATTCAATACTGTGTTATTTTCTGAGATGGACAACACTTCAGCCTTTTTATTTAATGTCTGTAGTGCATATTGGTATATAAAAAACATTTTAATACTGGTAATAAACAACCTTATAACACCATGTTTATTTTTCATGAATTGGACACTCAACTTTTTGCTTTAAAGCATATTCAGAAGCATTCCACTAAAACAAACCTTTTGACTTTTTAGGGTTTTATTAAAGGACATTCTCATCTTAAAATTAAGCATTATTAAAAATTATCTTGCCTAATACAAAAATATTAATAACCTTAGTATTTTCAAGTTTAGAACTTTTCTGTGTCTATAATTACTGTACTCTAAAGTCATTGATCACCAGCATCTTTTATGAAATCTGGTTTGTTCAACTTAAATATTTTGGTAGTTTTGAGGGTCGATGAGTTCATTGAACAATGAAGGAAGTATACAAACATTCACTGACATATTTGAAAAAGTATATGCTACACTATAAATCTGTGGAATTTATCTTTTAATTTGACTCACTCAAATTTTCTTACATTATAAATCTATTGTTTCTTTCTAGTTTGGGATTAATATTAGTTTGTCTGTAGGTGCTGCCGTATTGGGGGAACACCAGTGATCGAAAGATCTTGCGAAAGTTCTGGAGTCAGAAGGATTTGCACACAGAACGTGCTTCTTTTCATGTACTTATTACAAGTTATCAGCTGGTTGTGCAGGATGTCAAATACTTCCAACGGGTCAAGTGGCAATATCTTGTTCTGGATGAAGCTCAGGCTATCAAGAGTACTTCAAGGTAGTGTTTCATAGTGTAACAAACTTTTAACCTGTAAAGACAAAAATATAGCATAAAACATTCTTTTGTCACTTTTATTGTGTAAAAAGAAACTTAAGGTTTAGTAGTTCATAGAACTGTTCATAATAAACTGGTTTGTATTTGTTGTAAGTAATGTATATTTATTATAGTGTTCGATGGAAGATCTTACTAGGCTTCAACTGTCGAAACAGGTTATTGTTAACAGGAACTCCAATACAAAACAGCATGGCAGAGGTAAGCAGAAATAAGAGTTGATTTAACTTTCTTTGAAAGTTTTCTATAAACATATTTTTAATATACTGTTCAAATTTGTGTTTGAGAGTCAATCTGTATGTTATACTTTCTGTATTTTCTTGCTATTAATTTAAAATATTTTTTTCTTTTCCCTACAATTACCAGTGGGGTCCATGTCTCAGTAATGAACAGTGTGTAAGCAAGTTAGCAAAATAATTATATGTACAATCTTAGCTTAAAGTGTAATCATTTACTGCATAATTTTTTCTCATCACTGAATGGTTAGTGGTCACTACGCTTCTCTTACAGCTGTGGGCTCTACTACATTTCATCATGCCTACTCTGTTTGATTCTCACGAGGAGTTTAACGAGTGGTTCTCCAAAGACATTGAAAGTCATGCAGAAAACAAGTCTGGTATAGATGAAAGTAAGAATTTTAGGACTTGTTCATAGTAGTGTTAAAGTTTTTCTGTGTTATAACATGGTTTCTGTATTGCGCCAGATTTTTTATAATATTTTAGCAAGAATCAACATTTTTCTGATTTGATTTTAGTAATATTGTAAGTTTGTTTAATAGTATTGTATAATTTAAAACTTAATTTTAACAAAGCTATAATTTGAATTTGTATTGCTGTAACTTTTTAACAATATCTTCTAGGAATCACCAGAGTTACAACTTTATTTAATGGTACTTATGAAAATTGTACTTAATGTTTAGTTTATCCATAAGCCTAAAATATTACCCATTGTTTCTTATTGAGGACTTACAAACTACTGGTCTCTATGGAAACATTTTGTGATTGTAAAGTTTGGTTTTATGTATTTCTATAAGATTCAATCCCTACCATAGTTTGCTGTGCCTGAACATATGTTTAAACTGTTTCAGGACATTTATCCAGACTTCACATGATTCTGAAGCCTTTTATGTTGAGAAGAATAAAAAAAGATGTGGAGAATGAACTGTCAGACAAGGTACTTACATTGGAAGCTTTTGTATGACTTTAGTATGTGGTTAGTTAAAAAAAAGTTATAAGTTCATGACATCAATTTTTAAATCAGTAGGTAGATACTAGGTTATTAACATCTCACAACATTGGTACATCATGATGGTGACTTTTTATATCAGTAGGTACATACCAGGCTATTAACATCTCACAACATTGTTACATCATCATAATGTTTCTTATATCTGTAGATAGGTGCTAGATTATTACCATCTCACAAAGTTGTTACATCATCATGATGTTTCTTATATCTATAGATAGGTGCTAGATTATTACCATCTCACAAAGTTGTTACATCATCATGATGTTTCTTATATCTATAGATAGGTGCTAGATTATTACCATCTCACAACATTGTTACATCATCATGATGTTAATTTTTCTGTTTTTGTTAGATGCTAGTTTATCACCATCTCACCACTTCACTAGTTTGTGATGTTTTCTTTTTGTAGATAGAGATATTAGTGTATTGCCAGCTTACAGAACGGCAAAAGTTACTTTACCGTAGCCTAAAAAACAAAATATCCATCGAAGATCTCATGCAGTCTTCTTCATCCACACCATCTCAAGCCCAGTCGGTGACATCAAGTCTTTTGAACCTAGTCATGCAGTTTAGAAAGGTAATTTTTCTTTTTTTTTTAATATAATTGATATTAGATCATTCCTTCTACATTCACAGTTTGCAGATACTGTCATCATAAGTATGTTTTAGCACTTGTAAATATTCAGTTTTGACAGTGGTGACTTAATTATTTACTAAAACTGTGATTATTATAATAATTTCTTATTTCAATATTGTTAGTTCTCCAAAGCTTATATAAAATAGAGACATGGAGTCTAATCCTTAAGTACACACTTCGTTGCCATTTAGCTGATGTGTTTTGTTGTTGTTTGTTCTGTGTAATAGCATACGTTGTGCTGTTTATTTTTAGATATTTTTACAAAGATAATAGAAGTGTATAAATCAACTTTCTCTCTTTCTTACAATTTGAGAATTTCCTTGCTTTACAGATTTTTTTATCTGATATATGTGTATATTCTTTCTAGGTGTGCAATCACCCTGATCTTTTTGAAAGGAGAGAACCTAAATCTTCTTTTAGAATGCAGCTAGATCCTTACATCCTTCCAAAACTACTTTTTCGTGAAGGTAAGTTGCTGAAGTGTAGATGTTATGTTGAAAGTGTATAACAGTAACTATGAGCTCCTTGTTTGTGCCAAGTTATTCTTAGTAGGTCTGGAAATGTGTTTAACCTTTTCACATCAGACTTGTGTAATTTGAGGAAAATGTATCATAAATTTCACTTATGGTAACTCTGACGTTTCTTAACATATCCTCTCAAAAACTATTAAGATTTTATTTAAAGTATGTTGTACACAAAGAATAACATTTTAATTAATTAAAATATGTTACTGACCTATTATAGTTACTTGCACTCGAACTCTTGATAAATCAAGTGCAAGGTAGTTTTCATTTTCATAATCTCTAGAACCTTTTAAATGAATATCAAAAGTTTTTTAAGGTAAATGTTTATATTTTATTTCTAATTTTCTCAACCATATCACTAACTAGCCACTTTCACCAACGTACAATGCAATGAAATGATTAAAATTAGGAAATAGTAAAAAAAAACATGCCTTTTAATTTTTTATAGAATATCTTTAAAAGATTTTCCTTTGGTTGAATTTGTTATTTCAGGTCTTTTCCTTTTCATATATATATATACTTACTTTTTAATGTTTAATTTTCTTTTCTTCTCCTTTACCACTTATTATTCATCTTGACACAAGTCAGCAGTGCCCCCAAGGCATATTACAGCAACTCTTCGGCAAACTTTTCGTGCACCGTGTGATATCGTAAACCTTGAGAACTTATGCAAAAAGTATGACGTATATTTAAAAAATGTTTTGAACGTTTCAGTTATACATTTTAAACATAGACAATACATAATTAACTAAAATATATAAGTAAGACCTACATACAATTTATCTGTATCTCTTAACTGTAACACAATTAGGTAAGAAACAACTGCAAGTGCTATAGTCAACCAAGCAGCCATCAATACTAAAGTCAGTTGCATGTACTCTGTGAAGAAAAACTGCTCATCAATTTCAAAATAACTGTTGTTGTATTATAGTGTAAAAGGAGCTCTTTCTAATGAAAATAAACTTGTGTATGTAACTTCTACATGTAAGCTATAAAGCTCAAACAAATCTGTTGAAGTTGGGCATGGCACCTGTCAGGGGTTGAAAATATTTAATACTTGTTTCAACTGCATTCATTCAGAACTTTGAAATGTACCATATTTTTTGGAATATAAGCCCCCCCCTTATTTTGAAGGAAAAGGTTGGGGGGGGGGAAAGCTACAGTCGCATTTGAAA